CATCAATCCTCACTTTGTGCCGGCTCACACAAAGCCCCTCTATGGCGGCAGCAGAGCTGGGCGTGGGGCTGCCTGCCTGGCCATGGGGGACACCACGGGGTAACACGGCACAGCACCAGCACAGGGCCCCGAGCAGCACCTGCAGCTGCAGCAAGGGCACCAAGCTGCCCCTGCCCAGAAAGGCCAGCACCTTGCTGTGCCCCGTGCCTGCAGCCGACAGGGATTGCAGGCACAGCTCCTGCCCAGCAGGCAAACCCGCTGTGGCCACTGCAGCACGGCCAGGCTCTGCCACACCAGGCCGTCACTGGGCAGAATGACTGAGGATGCATCTGGAACAGATATGGAGCAGCAGAAGTCAGTTGCGCACTGGGATAAATGTTTTTGTGAACTCTGCACATGTCAGAGGGGAGTCTCTGGCTGGGCAATCACACAGATCATTAGTTACACTGCACTTTTCTGTGAGAGCATCAAGAAGGTTTGGTTTCTCTTCTATCGAACTTTCTAATTTAAAAATGGAAAAATAAACAGTCAAAGAGGAGATTAAATTAAGGAGCAGGATTCTATAAATACCTCTGTTAGGCAGCTTGTTACTTCAATTCTCTTTAGCAATGCGAGTTTGACCTGCATGCCCAGCTACCACCACAGCGAGCACTCAGCCCAGGATATGGCTCTCAGCATCCTGCAGTAAGCTGCCTGTGCCCACCCGCTCACTGCAGGGCTATTCCGGGACCAGGCCAAAACAATGACAAGAACATTTTTTCCCATTAGCTGGGAGCATGCTCCCTGGAAGTTTTCTCAGCTGTGGGGCCACATCCTGTCCCCAGCACATCCCAGCAGCCAAAGGAAGCCGGATGTGAGCTCTGGGGCAGGAAAAAGCTTCAGAACACTGTGGGGCTGCCCAGACAAAGGCAGCGGGGAAAGAAAGTGTCTCTAAGGAGAAAGTCCCTGTGCATCCTGGCAGCACCAGCCCCAAGCAGCACGCAGCAGAGAGGGTGGGATGGCTGCAGGACAAGATGGACAGGATGCACTCTTGGACAAGCAGCCACCATGCTGCTGGCTCTACCCCGAATGCTTCCCAGCCCTCGAACCAGATGTGCCTCAAGGCAGGAGGCACAGTGCCCCTGGGATCCTGATGCCCAGCTGTAGCAGAGGCCTTCTGGGACTCCACTGGCTTCTGGCACAGCCTTCTTCCCACAACCCATGCCCACAGTCACACGCACCTCCCTGTCTGCCAGCACGGCCAAGTTTGGCTGTTTATAGCCTTTTTGCTTGTTCTCTCCCATTTCCTTGTTATGTCATCAGCCTTTATTAGTTTATCCTAGCCATACTTTTCTGCTGGCTCCACTGACGTGACTGACCACACAGACTGCTGGGCTCTGGCTGGGACACATATACAGCAGAAGAACCCACTTTCAGAAATGAATGTGTTACTGTGAGTTTCTAGACCAACTTCTGCGCTCAGTGTTCCTTTTCAACAAGTTCAGCAAGTTCAAGAGCTGGTGGGTACATGACCAGATCAGGCCTTTCGATGTGTTTGCTACAGAAACATCATGCTGCCAACAAAGCGGGTCAAGCTCTGGAGTTAAATAGCCAGGGACTTAGATGGAGAATGGTGTTATTGTTTCTTCCTCCAACTACAAGCCCTGCACTTTGACACCGGCTTGCTCTTCCCACAGGCAGAAAAGTATGAGCTAAGGCAAAACTGGAAAAAAAACCAGCTACCTCACTGCATCCCTGCAGTCTGTGGGAAATGGTCCCACAAACCAAGCAGCCTTCTCTCAAAGGCTGTCCTCCATCCCTGCAGGAAGGCACGGCTGCCACAGCTCACCCACACCACACACGGCCCCAGCCAGCCTTCTATTTCTGCTCATGGAACATGGTGTCGTCTCCATCAGAAAAACAGGAACACAGCATCGTATCCATCGGAAAAACAGGAACCCGTATCCATCGGAAAAACAGGAACCCGCAGTGGCCATCAGCAGCGGGCCCTGGAGGCCACCATCACAAACAGGAAGGATTTCAGTTTCACATTTCACCACCATCGAAGGCATGCCTGGAATCACCTCTGCACACAGGCTCCCTTAGGAGACAGTTGCCCTGCACCAGCTGCAAAATCTACGCTTTGTGACTGAATGGGATGGAAACAGGAACTTAAGTGACAGAATGAGCAAAATCGAGACCCTGTATTGCTTCACAGCACTTCTAACTATGGACACACATTTCTGAAGTGTCCTGTTTCGAATCAAAATAGGTTTCCATACGTGGATGACCTTGCACCAGGGCAGCAAAACTGAAATGACATTCGGTTCAGTTATTTCTCTCTTGGCAGAGGTATGAACATATCTCTGGGGGCTACTGGCACCCTTAAGCCTGGGATTCGCTTTGTCAGAGATGCACGTGGTACAAAAGTGAGATGTTGTCTGTTTCATCTCACACATGCAGAAGTCAAGTTATGCCTTCGTCTAGAAGGCAAGTCCATCTCAGCTAAAAATTATAGGGATGACACTGCCAACCTGCTGCACAACACACAGGCTCCCTTAAAGAACAGATGAGCATGTTCTCACTCAGTTAAAATAAAATACAAAATGGAGAAACCCAAGCTTTAGCCTGAGCAACTACACACCTGCATATACCCGGCCTGTCTGGTTTGTTACTGTGACCAAGCTGAGAATAACCCAGCTCTGGGAATCTGCAGACAACACTGAAGAGTGGTGGACCTTTGAAAATAGCTCCAGAAACCTCAGAGAAAGCTTGCAAGCCTCCGTGATGCAAGGCACGAGTACTTAAGGCACAGGCAGCTCTGTGTCGCTGCTCCAGGCAGGCTGTAAGCAGTCAGCCAGTGCCACATCTCCAGCCATGCGCTGAGCACAGGTAAGATATGGGCAGTCAGGTAGGCCCGTGCTACAAACGCAGCAAAAGACCACATAAAACAGAGAGGGGTTTGTTATTTCCTCTACCCGTCATCAAGAAGAAATTACAGTAAATTCCGGAGCAGGTCAAGGTCACCGGGGCTGTACCCCACGGCCGGTACCCG